TTTGTCAGGCGACCCGTGAATATAAACGCCACCTTTGAGGTCGCAACGTTATGCGCACTAGGTGATGTGTAGTGCAAGTATTCTCTCAGGACATTTCATGGGGTTAATATTCTATGTCCTGGCAAAAGTTATAGTAAAATGTATGGGACAGAACCCAGATACAACAATCTTCAATATAATGATTAATTTATCACTTCACAGTCACAAATTAAGCAAAACATTAAGCAAAAACAAAACACATGTGAAACTATTAAGTAGTGATTACAACAGGTTCGAGTTCATATGTTTACATTTAGTTTTATTGCACTTGTATGATACACAACACAGAATTTACTGTACGTGTATAATAAACTTTGAAAACTTCTAGTGCTAAATGCACTAGAAGACTGCATGAGTGCTTTAATGTTACATAAATTTTGTGAATCATTTGATACTCATTACAAATTTAATTAAATAATGTGTGTAGTAAAAAAAGTACAAGTTAGGTTTACCCTGATAATAACAATATTTTCGGTAATTTTACGGCCATATTGTTATATTGGGATAATGATTCCTCGATCAATATAATAACTTACCGCTCCCTTGGTATATCATTATATCGGGGTTCCACTATAAAAAGGTACAGGTTGTACATTTCAAGGCCTTGATAAATTTTCAAGCTTAGTGTGTTAACCGGCTATGAGCCAAATATAAATTGTATGCGATTCACTTTAAGTGAAATGATTACCAAGAACTATAATTTATTCCTAAAGTTCTATAATCCAAAGTGAGGGAGAGACACATAAATTGCATATCGAAACCCAATGGAATCCTTCTTACCTGCATAAATTTCATTGCTACCAATTTGAACCCTTTCTGCTCAAATCGCTTGATGATGTCTCCAATAAGACCACGCTGGACACCATCAGGCTTCACCATTATTAAGGTTCTTTCAGTCTTATCTGGTTTGTTTTCTACCTATTGAACAGAGAAACCAAATGTAATTAGAAATATATAGATGCTGTAAAAAATACTACCTCATGTTTCACAGACAGATGGCAGGGTGCGGAGCAGATGAAGAAGAAAGAGACGGTGTGTCGAAAACACAAATGTAATAACTGATCTCAAATGTTTAAGTAAAAGTCTCAATAATGTAACAATATTTGGGAGAGTTGGTGTACATGTTTGCTTTCATTAATCTGGCAGCTGACATTATTTTGATCACACATGGTCATGTGATGGGTAAGAAGAGGCTCTTAAACCACCATATTTAGCAAAATTTTTATAATAGCTAGTTATTATAAATACATATAAATAAAACATCCAAGCAAATTACCTTAGTTGCAGCATGTACATTCCCGAAGAAAGTAAAATTGTTGTTGTATAATCGACTTGCAGCAAAAAGGCCGGCACCCGCAGCGGTAGCCCCAGTAACAAAAGGTCCAGCAAAACGGAAATACCAGGCGCTCTCCTTCGACTGACAAGTAAGTGTACGTGTCCGCCTGACTGTCGGGGATCTGAACACAGCAAAAAAAGAACGAACGTCAACGACACGGGAAAATTTGCTGTGAAACGCCATTTCTTGCTGTTGGGACTGGGTTCGAAAATCAAACTGGTGTCAGTGGGGAGAGGAGAGAGCAACGCGAGCTCCTCGGCCAAAACTTTGTTTACACGGTTACGCAGGCTAAACATGAATCCGAAATATTTTTCCTCAGCCTGCTCCAGGTATTCAGATCGTTGGGACGGCGTGAAGAGATTTGAGAAGAAAAAACAGCGATCGGGGTGGGGTAGGGGGTAAGAGCGACGCGCAACAGTCCACTATCTGACGGCCTGGAACAGGCTCTTCTTGGTTTGTTTTCCTATCGTCAATTTTTCCCCTGCGTTCGACTGTCTGAACAGGCTATTTTTTTTCCTTAACAGACTTTTTCTTTGTAAATATAAATATTTGCCAGTCAAACTCTCCAGGATTATCCGAGAGTCTCTCGGATACTGACTGAATCAAATTCGACGTCTGAAACCCAACCTCGTCGCCCCACGAGGTTGTCTGAAACCAATTTTTGTTAGGACCAAGGGACTGGCAAGATATGTTCGCCCAAAAAGGAAGTTTTCTTTATATCGGGGTTGTTTTCCAAAGCTTACCCAGTATAAGTCGAGAGATCCGACCATTCGTGCCAAGTGATTGCCTACAAGGGGATAAAAACAATGGAAATCATCCCCCCCCCCCGCCACAAATGCATGGCTACCGAACGCGGGTTGCTCACAAGAGGTGATTGTGTACGAGGGGTCGAACTAAAACTAGGAGGCTCCATTGGGAAGTGGCACATGTGTGTAAAATTTCTCATTATTATTGGGAGGTGGTCGCACATGTGTGTAAAATTTCTCATCCTAATAACAACTATTGTTGTCAAGTTCTCGCCCGACTCGGCACGTAATTGAACCAATCAAACGTCAGGATTTTAGAGGCTGCGGGGTAGGTATGTTGGTGCTTCTATGCAATCAATATATTAATAGAATCTCTTTCATTGAAATTCACTTTTTGCGTGTTTCTTTGCTGACATAACTGACATAGGATCCTATGATATATTACATTAAATTATTTGGATAAATTTAGGTTTATGAGAAACTGCCCACCTACCCCTCCCCTAAGCCAACATTTTGCCCTAAGTGAGAAGTAAGTGTTAATGTTAGCTTAGGGGAGGGGTAGGTGGGCAGTTTCGCAGAAACCTAAATTGATCCAGCTATTTTGGGGTAAAAGCAGACACGGCGAACGAAAATTTTATTCTGAACAAATTAATGATAAAGGGCAACTAACAACGCATCCAAGTCAGAGTTCAACTGCGAGCATATTTTGGATCAGTAAACAAAAGAATCAGAGAGAATTGTGTGTTGCGCTGCCCAAGCAAAGATGAAAAAAAGGTAACTCCATAATTCATTACGCTATAATTTACCTTAATTTAGTTTAATTGTCTTTGCCTGGCCCCCTGGTGAAGAAAAACCATGTTAAAAAGTTGTAACTTAAGCCAGAATGATTGTCTTTTTGATCCGATAGGTACAGCTTTATCCATTTCTTGTCAATGATTATGATTTTGTCAATACGCAAAGAACACGAAATGTCACCTGCATGAGTAAGGGTAGAATTCCACTGTCGCGTAATTTTTACGTGTGTACGTCCTGCGGACGTGCGTAATTTTCCGGCCCAGGCTGAATATTCTTATTTTTCTACCGATTTTAGGCTGAAAATACTCTTGCATTATTCTTAAATTGTAGCCTGTGACTTTTCCGTTGGGGTATGATAATTGCAGTTTAAATGGCGGCACGCTGTTTTTCTTTTTGGTGGCTAGTTTTGCCGTTAAGAGTTAGGAATAGTTTCATGGTTAAGTTAAAAATTGTATTGAATTTACAGAATTTCAGCGCTCAAAATTATATGCCGTCCTTTTCAGCCTTAGGTTTATTTTTATCATACTGTAAGACTTTGTGAATTTCGGCGTTTAAAGCCTAGACAAACCAATCGCATCCCAGCCTTACCTAGCAATGCATCGTTAATTTAGTCGGTGCAGAAACGCCCTTCTACAAACAATACCGAGGACCGCATCTTGGCCTACATCTTTATTCATTTGACGAACTGCAAAAACCTAGCGCTCACGGTTTTAAGAGGGCTGAATAAAATGAATGCGTGATATTTTCTAACCAAGAAAAAAAGGTTGTCCAATATCCAATATTAAAAAACTTAGTCACACATGTCGGCTCTACCCCACCATAGATAAATATTGAATAACTAAAGAAACAAAATAAATAGAGAAATAAATAACTATAACAGAGGAAATCCTTTCACGCCTTCAGAATTAAGGTTTAGAGTATATGTTGCATTCCACTCAAAAAGGCAAACAAGAAAATTGCGACAAGACCAAACAAGACCTGGAAAAATATCTATAACATAGCTTTCCCCCTGATCCTGTTTTAAGTCTCACCAAGAGCCATAATTATGGCTCTTGGTCTCACTAACTACAAGAGATAGATCAGCGAAAAAAAAAGTAACTCAGATGCAACGTCTTGTAGCTACTGTTTAGTGCCAATTTCTAGCTCGAGTTTCAATATCATACATTTTTAGGCAAGTGAACGAAGTCAGTCTTGTCAGTGTACATGGTATGGAAACACCGTAGACGGGAGATAAATTCCGGAAACGAATTTATTCAATCAGAGCGGCGGGGCGGGAAGTTAACAACTGAACAGGAAGATGTGGGAGCCAAAACAAGTACTGTTTTATAAACGGAATTTTCCCGCGGAGATTTGTGGACTCAGCTAATTCGTGTCTTTCCGAACTAAGGCCTGTAAATATCAGGAAGACGAAACAATTATCGCTTAGTCAAAATTTAATGTCAGAAAGGAAATTGCATTGTGCTCATCCATCTTAAATTCTTGGTCTTTCCTCATAGCTTGCGATCCGAATAGTCTAATACCGGAAAGTTTTAATAGGAAAGAGTCCGAAATAAAAAACGGTTTAAGCAGTTTAACTGAGGAATGTGTGAGATCATACCGTAAATCCTCTATTAAGCCCCCTCCCTCTAATGAGCCCCGCCTTTTCAGGGGAAGAAAGTTTATAACCCTCCATCCCCTCCCCTAATTATTCTTTACTGATAAATGATAGACTGTATTAATCAATCACGTCTGTAAAACTTTGTGTGGGCTGATCCCGGGTGGTTCTGCTGATTTACCAACTGGAAGTTCGGATTTGATTTCGGCTGCATGACCTCCAACCTTCTTGTTATTGAGCTTTTTCACTTTGTATTTCTTTATGGAGAACTGATACCATCGTCTTTTCTAAATTAAATAAACCCCCCTCTCAAATAAGCTCCCCGTCTCTTTTATGCACCCCCCCCAACATGGGCTTAAAATAAATAAGCTCCGGGGGGGGCTTAATAGAGGATTTACGGTATGTGTGCTTGGGTCTCTCGGGAGCCAGAAGAAGCGCTGAAATCAGACCACTTTTTAGTAAAATTATCTCACGAAATATTTTTGTGCAATCTTTTTGTTGGGCAGGGATATAGATAATCCAGAAACTAAAAATGTGACCGAAAGGAAAAGCATATAAAAATAGACCAGCATATATGAATGGTTTTCGTTTATTGCTGACGGTGATGCGGATGTCAGAAAAGGTCTGTAAATCTCTCATGGGCTTGAAGCAGGCATTGAAAAACAAACGCTATAGTATAGATTCTTCGCAACGACTGTTAGATCTGAATCAGGAAATCGGTGACGAATTTTTCAACTTTCCGGGAAACAAATTTGGTCAAAAGTTTATGTAAGTTGCAGTTTGTGTTTTCATCATTGTATCACAGTGGTCGTGACCTGAAAACCCGCTGCAGTCAGATTATATTAGGTGGGATTGACGTTGCAGTGAGGGTTGTGTTCTTCCGTATGTACGTATCGACTTTCCCTCGAATCAATTCTATTTCGCCTTAACGAAACACAAAAGGGCAGTCTGCGAAGTGAAATATCAGACACTAACCCATTTTTAACACAATTCACAGTAATTCAAAAAACAAAAACTACTTTGTCAGGAGCCGGTACCTTGTCAGTAAAGAATGATGCATCGCGCATAGAAACTATAATTCCACAAAGGAACTCTTTCTACGAGGAAAATGTGTCTAAACTACGGAATGTGATAATTGTTCTTTTTTCGGCTTGAATAGTTGCGTGTTTATGCGGTTACCGGTTAGTTAAGATGTTTATTTTTTGTGGTTGATAAGGGTGAACCATTTATATAATTATTGAATGATCAATCGTCTGCTTTATTGTTAGTAATTTCATTACATACTTAATATGGAATGTGCTCGTGTTCAGCAATTATATCACGCAGCATTCAGCGAGTTTAATGTTTTATTTTAACAAAGAAAAGAAATATTTACACTGAGCTGAAAAAGACTGTCTGTACAAGGAAGTCGTCGTCCATCCGGTGTTAATCAGAAAACAAATGGAGTTAATCTTTGGTATGTTCAAATGGTTTCGTCAAAAACTTATCACACCTAGTCACTTACAAATCATTTGCCCCTTTTTCTCACCCATGCAGAATGCCTTTGTTACCGTTTGTGATTCATATTCTCAGAAAAAAGTGACCCCAGTAGAGCCCTGTACTAACGAGTTTCCTCGGTCATTTGTGTTCACTGGCGTAAGGTCTTGTGTTAGGTTTAAACACGAACAGCAGTGTTTTATCTTTGGTTAAAAATCAAAGCGAAACAGCACCTGTTCTTTCACTGGTTAAAAATTCGAACGCGAAAGGAGTGACGTATATGTGCATCTGAAAGTAACAACAACAACTTTATTTACTTTATCTTCGACATGAAGATTTCAGTACCAAAACAATAATCAATGAAAAAAGTAAAATAAAAGTTAAGAAAGAAAGAAAGAAAGAAAGAAAGAAAGAAAGAAAGAAAGAAAGAAAGAAAGAAAGAAAGAAAGGAACAACAATTGTATATTGAATATTATCATAAAAGAAAAATTACTTGGCTATGTACGGCTTCCACACTACCCATATGGTAAGAAAGTTAAATGAGGGTGCTAATGGGGGTACCCAATTCTCAGTTACCTACTCATTTTTCGGCCAAATAACAGTTAACTACTATTTTTTGGCCAATTCTCAGTTAACTACTAATTTTGGTTAGCTATTAACTTTCACTTTCCTACAGGAAATGTTATTCTGCCATAACCCGAATTTTCTTTACTTCAGCAAGTCAATCACTTTTGAGGGTAGGCCCTTCTAAAATCAAGGTATAAATTTACATGAAATCACATAAACTCCGCCACTAGTACAATTTATAAGTAACTGAAAATATGGAAAAAAAAACACAATTATCTAACCGAAGTAGCAAAAATGGGTAAGCAATAGCTATTAAGACACCTATTTACCAATTTTTGCTGTAAGTACAAATTAGATCCAAGTCGTATAACCATCATTATGACAACAGCCTCATAGATACAGACGCACCAGTGATGATCTCGTACCGATCTTCCCGAACTGGTCATGCATCAATGTCCTGCCATAAACTACTTAAAAGTCACCTTCTTCGTCACTTTCATTGTCTGAATCAGTCATGTACTTATCTGGCTGAAATTACTGTATGTGTCCTGTATCTTGTTGTTGGCCTAAGTTTCAATCCATTTTCAACCTTTGCAATCCATTGGAACAGACGAAGGGAGACAATATCAATGCCAAAATAAAGTCTTAATTAACAAAACTGGACCATTACTTTTGGAATTCAATTGATGCAAAAAAAGTTTTAGCTTTTTAAAAAGATAGCAAATAGCATTACCTAGTCCCGTGACGCTAGTGGTAAAGATCCCTCTTTGACTTGAGTTGATTCGCTTCTTATAGCTCGTTGTCAAACAGGTGGAAAGTTCTCCATCCAGTCCATCCCCATCCCAACTTCATCTTTTTTTGTCATTGTTTGCATCGATGGGACAGACATAGTTGAGAGTGCTAACAAAGGCATGAAAGTATTTGACATATATGCGGGACAATTCGACTTTTCGTGAGTGTAGCCCACTTCGAATTCGTAGTTCTTTTAAGCGATTCCTTCACTTTATTTCCAAAGTCTTAGGCGTGGTTCAAAGCACTAAGGGCCAAGTATTTGAACGAAGTCTAACTTAAGCCGCGATTTAACGAATCTTTGAACCTCCAGATCTCAGTCGTTGGTGGGTTGTTTTAAGAAGATAAAAGTTTTTCTAGTCTTCTCTGTATGCCTTCGTAAAACTTTTCACCATAAATGATGTTTAGGTAAAATCGTTGGGCAAATTGAAAATGACTCAGAAAACGCGGTTTTGTCAAACTCTGCGGGCTAAACTAAATATTTGGCCCTGAATGTTTTGTGTTGAATGGAATGAGAAACCGCGTGTAGGTTTTCCACCCGCGTTGTCAGAATGTCAGATTACTGCCACTCTTGTCTTAACGTTCTTTATTAAATCCAGATAAGATCCAAATCTGACTTCGTTTTTCAGTTCACTATACAGACTTAATTTATTTCCAACTGAGGAGTCGAATTTATCCTTGTTCAAATTTTTTGACCAATATTCCTGCTATTCTTTAAACAAATTTCTTTTAAACATTCTAACCAGGTGAGGAATTGTCCTGTAGTCAAGATGTGGAAGATTTAATTAATTTGGTCAGGAGCGGTAATCGGCTCCTGATTTGGTAAAGTGTAATAGGTGTCTTAGCTGTGTCTTACAGTACGTAGTAAACCATGAATGTTTACCTACATTATTAAAATGGCCCTTTTATCTCTAGGGTGCTATTTAAAATTTGGTTATTTTGTACGGTAAGTAACCTTAAGAAGTACTTAAAAATTCTAGTGTAAATAATAAGATGAAGAGGAAAACGTCCGAGTTCTCCCTTCACAGCATGTCCAGCATGCATGGTTACTTGCTTTAGAGTGATCCCCTAAGGCCATTTTGCATACCTTGTTTTGCATATTCTCGGGTGTTATTCGTTCATCAAAAATTCTCGAGACAAATTTTTCATAGTTATTCCCGACTGATTTTAAAAAACAACCCCAAATTTCACAGTTGTACAAAAGCATTGGGCTCACAAGAGAATCAAAAAGTTTAAGAACTGCTGAGACAGATGCACCATTGTAAATATTTACCTCTGACAGGAAACCATAAAGAGATTTGGTGGCTTTATAATATAGCTTTTTCTGGGCCAGTGAAAAAGAACTAGGAGGCGTGAAAGTTATTCCAAGGTGGACGCAACTATCTGTTACTTGGATTGGCTGGTTTCCTAGCTTGAATTCACTTCTAAATTTTTTACCACTTTTACCGAAAATAATAGCTTTTGTCTTCTTTATATTTATCCTCATTTGCCATTTCTTAACGTAACAATTCAACTTATTAAGGCATCTCATGCAAACCATGTTCTGATTCGGAAAGCAGGAGAAGATCATCTGCATATAGTGAATAACTGATTTTGCATTCTCTCATGATCAAGGGATCACAGAGTCAGATATATCAACAATGTCATTTACAATCAGCTTACAACCCTGTCGTACCCCTACTAAAGGAGTAAACGCCCTACCGACTGAGCTAATCCTGCCACGGTTTTTTCAGATGGTTTTTGAACACTCAGTTATTAACACTAAATCAGTGCATTATCGACCGCAGAACAGTATACCGGGTGGGAAGTGTTCAATACAATGAACCAACAGTGACTGGCCAAACAAAGCTGCTAGTGCAGATAGTCATTTTAACTAGTCATTATTTCGCCCCGGGTAACTGCTCGGCAAAGTGTGGCAAAACATTAACTGGAAATAAACAAGGACTGGTAACCAGCTTACAATCAACACTGTGGCTTAGCCACTTAAGATATAAAAAATTTAAAACGAGGTCTGAATGATTACGAATAGGAGTTAAAAATTACACGACGTTTCGACGTTACCAGTTAAAAGAAATAAAATATGTATGTTCTATAAATACAAAAAAAACCCAATAGTTCATTAAAAAGGAAAGTAACTATAAATATATGTTACAAGTTAAAAGAGTTACTGATGGAGTCACTCTGTGTGTTAAGGCTAGGCCTCAGTTCTTTGATGCGGTAGCATTTCATAAATGGGGCACTCAAATTTGGCCGTGACACTTCTTGAGAACACGAAATTGGCCCTCATTAAGAATATTTTTGTCACCGTGAGCTTCTAAAAATGTTTACCGATAGCTGAATACAGCAATACGATGACGGAAGGTGTCGCCGGGGCTGTGTAGCCAAAATAATCTGCATCACACAGATCACATGCAAATTTTAAACAACGCAATGCTGACTTACAATACTCAGCTTAATTTCTTTTGGCTTAAGATCGTGCTCGAATTTTTTGCTCACAAAACTAGGCTGTAAAGTGCCGGCAATCTTATTGCTGAGATCACGTAATCGCCGACAAACTGCGTTAGCGGCTATCTGATCTTTGAAGAGAAGAACTGTTCTGATCGTGTTGCCATCATCGGTTTTCCCTTCTGGTTTAGTAGTAGTATTTTGAATAAACATATTAATGGTGTAATTTATGAGGGTAATTGGATAATCAAGTCGTCAGAAGATAGAGTGTCTGGAGCGTAACTTGGCACATTCCTCATTGTTTGTACAGAACGTGTCGAGAAAGTTCTGAAATAACAGATTTAGAGTTGTGCTTCCTTTTTCCTGTTTTGTTTCTGCTGATTCTTAATCCATGCCGGGGGACCTTTTCAAGGGGAAGTCTTCTTTCTTAACACACACACATTAAAAAGTTTTGTCTACAAATATTAAAGAATTGGAACTGTAGCAAGCGAACAAGAGTCGGGCATCTAGAGCAAGGAAACCTGAACAGTGAATTGAAAAGAAGGAAACAGACTAAAAAAAAATGAAACAAGGGATTTTAAAAATCTTGCCGGCGTTTTCATTACTTTTTGGAAGAATTCCGGTTTTGTTGTCACTTGTGAACAGCTTTCTGCATGTTTTTATACGGCACAGTTTACAGCCGTTTCTGAGGTCTTATAGGCTCATGTTACGTCATGAGTTCAAACCAACAGAGGATATCCTTCTCTTGGTTTAAATCAAAGTTTTCAAAGAAAAAAAAACCTGATTAAATAGTCAAAACCATGACAGATCAGTGAATAACAGACTCATTTTACTCGGCTGTCACTCTGAGAAATGAAAAACTGTACAATAAACTGTAAAGATATGTAATAACTCAGTGTAGAAACAAACTATCTTCTGACAGGTTTTCAGGCAACTGACTATACTTAAAAAAAACTGAACAGGTCGAAACTGATAATGTGCTGGGAAGGGCTTAGCTCAAAGCTGACGAGAAGATAGACAAGAAACTCACTTCCGTGTTAGCCGCCACGCAATACGATGTCTAGGAGTCACTTCTTTTCCCACCAAAATATCTTTTCATAAACAGACCTCCTGCATAGGATTGGGAAAAAGGCCGCGAGCAGGGATGCGAGTCGAGTAGCCTGCGAATTCCGCAAGCCGAGGGGAAAATTGAGGGCAAAAGGCGTTGCCGTTTGCTTTTTGCATTCGAGGCCTTCTCACCCTCAGTAGCCGAGATCCTGTTCATAGGTTAAAGAATAAGCAATTCACTTTTTTTTTTTCAGTGGGCTTTGAATTTAAGCCCGTCAACGAACGGTTAGATATTGAGCAAAAGTTTGTTTTCCAGGGGTTTTTGAACCAAATAACTCGTCACATTTCACATTTTGAAGGACCCCAGGATAGGGTTGGTGTTTTAGGTTATTGGAGGGCCAAGAAAGATTTTAATGCACTCGGTTCGCTTTAGCGCATAATTTACTGGGGCCTGTGTGTCACAACCTCATCTCGACTCAATTTATTTTAAAAAAGGCTTTGTAGAAGGGAATACTGAGGCCCGCGCAGGGATAAGCCAAAACAGAACAGGAAAAATAAGAGAAAGAGGGTGAGTTGAAAAACAAAGAGGAAAGAAAGAAAGATCTTCCGTCTTTCTACAGTAAGCGTTTGTGCTCTTGAAAACCTGTTTCATAACTTCGACTGTTCAGTCAAATACCAAGGTCCTCTATGCCTAAAATCCGCGGGAATCACGCAAACAGGAATCTAATTATGCCACGCGTCTGAACACTTGTACTTTTTACAAAGCTTGTTTAGATGAAAGTAGATATGAAACCCTTCAAAAGAAAACCAAGGCTACCGCACTTGGAATTGATAGATGTTGCGATTGTACATTGTACAGGTAAAAAAATTCGTGCGATCTAATACTATTTTGAGCACATAATTTCGAGGTCAATTTCATCCAAACGATATGCAAATCGAGGCGAGGAAATAAAAAGTTAAGAAACCTAAGACAATTGTCACGGCGGGTGAGAAAAGACAGAAAAGATACGTTGTGTCTAAGAGCAGGCCTGGTCTAAGAGGGACACGTCGTTATTAATGCTCCAAGCTAGAGAAATTTGGCGTGTTTCATCTTTCTACATTGGTATAGTTAAGTTTCAAAACTAACAGATTTTGCGACCTTTTAAGTCTCATAACTATTAAACATATCACCGGATGTTTGCTGGTCCTTTCAACCGGAAGCTACCTACCGCCGAAGGAATTGAAGCAATCTGAATTGCGGGGGCGACCAACCTTTTGTTTCGAGGTTATCAAGCGCAAGGAAGCATATCTTGTACATTGGGACTCCCTCTATTGTTTGGTAAAAGTCGCTGAGCTAGCGAATTACAAGGCAATATCCTGCAACTGTTTGCTTGATAGTAACTTGGGCACAAGAGTTGATGAACCCTTTTACGGTGCTCGGTAATGAAGAGCGACAGGTTTCAAGGAGCAATGTGATTCCGGTTATATAAGCTTATACAGTGATCGGCACGAGGATTTGGCTGGTGAAAGCAGTACGGGTATTTGAGGCTTCATATATTATTTTGCGCACGCAAGTTAGAACAAAGACTTCATAAACGACTTCATATGATCGAGTGATTCAAGTGATGAGGTTTTCAGACTGGCAGCCCTGAGATAACAGCGCTGATAGCGGTAAGTCTGGGTAAGTGTAAACAGTTTTACCGTTTTGAGTTTACCTTGTCGTACAGAAAAAGATAGAAAAGCATTAGTCTCTCTACTCAACGTTTAACTATCGATTAAAAAACTATAGAACTCGAAACGACTTGATTTCGAAAGAGAAACAAGAGAGAGATGATCAATAATCATACCCAATTCATATTTCTAAATTTGAGTGCCCATCAGTGAAAGGTTATTGCATTCCTCTGTTTAATTAGTCAGAAGTCTAGCCAGTAATTCCTGCTATCTGCTCTTGTGATTGCCAAAAACGTTTCAGTTCAAACATGTAGTTAGAAAGAACTTGAGCGTTTAATTGCATAAAGGACAATCAGATTGAGCACAACTTTCAGCCATGAAACAGCACCATAGTACATTGACTTCATCTGTCATCTCATTTGATTATATTATACATAACTCAGTAATAAATGGACGGTTCATCAGACGTTAATTGTTTTATCTAACCGATCTGTCTATTTTATGATGTTTATTATTTTTATTATTATTACTTATACCAGAGATAAGAATTGTCAGCTTACTTCTTGGCGTTGGAAGGTGCTTTTAAACAATTTATTTTTTTTGTGGGGGGGGGGGGGGCGGAAAAGGTGCGTTTTTCCTCAAAAAAACCTTAGCCTTTTTAAGGCCGAAAAACGTAAATTTTCCCTGCTTAAAGAGAGAACGGAATTTAACTCAATTTAACGCGCAAACGGTTGAATTTTATCCCCATTTTAACACAAAAACGATTTTTTTCACACACAAAACCCTAATTTAAAATTTTGTCTTTTTTTCTTTTTTTTTTTATTTTTTTAATAAAAAAAATATAAAAATAGTGTGTTGTCTAAATTTTTTTTTTTTTTTTTTACCCCTTTTTTTTTTTTTTTTTTTTTTTTTTTTTTTTTTTTTTTTTTTTCAAAAAAGAAAAAAATTTTTCGTGTTTTTTTTGGGGGGGGGGGGGGTTTTTTAAAATTTTTTTTTTTTTTGGGGGGGGGGGGGGGGAGGAGAAGGTGCGTCTTTCCTCCAGAAAACCTTAGCCTATTTCAGGCCGAAATACGTGAATTTTCCCTGCTTAAAGAGAGCACGGAATCTAACTCTATTTCAAGCGCAAACGGTTGCAATCTATACCCATTTTCACACCAAAACGTTTTCTTTCCAAAAAAAAAACAACAAAAACAAAAAAAAACTCTTTGGCACCCCCAAAAAGGATCACCCCCCCCCCCGCCTTCGGGGCCCCCAAAGCTTTTAAAATACAGTAAATTGAAGCGAAGGACAAGATGTCATTCGCGCCAGTTCTTGTGGTAATATGATTAGTTTTTCTGCCTCCTGGGGTTTATGTGTAATAGCACCTGTTAACTTGTGATCTGGCGTAAAACGCACGGAATGTTCCAATATTTTTAGCGTCTATTACAGTTTGAAGAAGGAAGCGTTTGTTGATTTAATTCTGTTTTGCCAAGTAAAGTAGTCGGCAAAAAGTGTTTCCTATGCAAATGAACTTTATTGTTTAACGAGACTTTCAAATGGCTTAACAGTTTTTCTGTCCATATAAAAAACCTTTTTAAAAGGTGTAAATTCCTTTATATATATTGATAAAACACTATTCGCTACCAATAATGTAAATAAAACAGTTCTTTCTCAAAGAAAAAAACCTTTCAAATTAAGTAAAATCTTGAAGTGAGTTGAAACCGGAACTTCGACTTGACTAGTGTCAAAACCGAAATCCTCTTCTGTACCCATTGTGCAAAGAACTATTGAGAAAAGGGTAAAGTGTACATTTGCTGACAATTCTTGAGTCAATAACGGGGTATATGGCGTGCTTTTATCCGTGATATTTTTCAGATGGGCCTTCCTTTGTATGTCTATATTGTTAACAAACTAAAATTAGCTTTATTTCTTTGATTTCCTGGTTGCCATAACCAAGGGAGGATCCTCTCTTGCAAAAACCTATACGAAAATTGTCCAGTATTTTATTGCTTTATGTTTATTGCTCTATAAGGAAGGTACAATTTTTCAGTCAGTGATTTTACAAATCGTTGTATGGTATTAATGGTTTAGTTTGTAAAAACTCGATAGTTGAATGCCGAGGTCAGATAAAAAATATTGGTCATATATTTCAGATAAAGTTTAAAACCTTTTGTCAAATACTCCCTTTGTTACGTGTTGAATTTAAAGTTCCGCGGACGTGACATACTTATAAACTTTTAGTTCGACTGATAAAGATTCTTTGTGTCTACAGTGGAGGGTTAATCTTTCTATTCGCCGAATGTTTGTCTTGCACTACAACAAAGGCCGAGATTAATTTGCAACCAAAAGACCGACTGTAGAGCAAAAAAGAAAACTAGCTACATTTGTCATGCAAATGTATTTAAAATTAATTACTCACAAATTTCTTTTCTTCGTAGCGGCTTCTTAAAATGATTTTAATTACTCTGATTAGCAGTTGATTCAAACGTTGTAGATTTTTGCGTAGAGCAGGAAACCACTGGTTCTTGAATACCTTG